ACAAAGGGGGCTCTCGCAGTGATCCCGACAACTACCGCCCTGTTACACTTCTTCCGACACTATCGAAAGTCACGGAAGCTATCGTGGCAGATCTGTTGATGGAATATCTGGAGAAGCATAAGCTTTTGTCTCCAACTCAGCATGGATTTCGGTAAAATCATTCGTACACCATAAATCTACTTCTTGCACGAGATGAGTGGATAAAATCCGTCGATGCAGGCCAGTCATTGGATATAGGTTATTTGGACTTCTCCAAAGCATTTGATCGAGTAAACCACCAAATTCTACTGCGAAAACTCTACAACTACGAAGTAAGAGGTTTGGTTCTGGACTGAATCAAGGAGTTTCTCCGGCAAAGAACCATGCCAGTTCGTGTTGGTGATTCATTATCAGAGCCTATTACCGCTGCCCGAGGGGTTCCTCAAAGATCCGTACTTGAGCCTCGTCTCTTTCTTGCATTTATAAACGACCTGCACATGTCCTTAGGCCTTATACACTGCTATTTGCGGACGACGCTAAGACCTGAAGAACTGTAGCACATCCAGAGCATTGTATAGCACTCCAACAAACGATCGATACAGACCACCGATGGTCAACCGCCAATGACATCGAGTTCAACGTTTCTAAATGCAGAGTTATTTCCATGCTGCATAAGACTCGTTTCTCCTATGTTCTAGGAATCCAAATACTACCGCATGCCAATGACGAAAGGGATTTGGGAGTTATGGTACAGGAGGACGTAGGATGTTCCATGCACCGTGCCAGAGTGTCATCCGTAGCTCTAAAGCAAGTTGGACTAATCAGACATGTTTTCGGGCGGTTCGAAAGAGCACTGTTCCCACGTTTGTTATCAACGTTCGTTCGGCCACACACGGAGTATGCCGTTCAAGTATGGAATCCATGGTTGAACTGCGACAAGAAGGCTCTAGAACGTCCGCAAAGGCTGGCAACAAAGTTGGTAAAAGTTTTGTATAATAAGACACTCAGAAAGACTGCAAGTATTGGGGCCATATTCATCTGAATACCGTCGACTTCGGGGGGACCTAATCTTGGCATATCACATGCTGCATCAACCCAACCACCCTTGTTATTCTATACTAACTTTACCTCAAACTGATCACCTCAGGGGACATCCACTAAAGTTGAAAACCTAGAACAGCCACTTTGATTGCCGGTATCACTCGTTTGCAGTCAGAGTGTGCGGCGCATGGAATTCTCTTCCATCCGATGTAATGTGTGCCCCTACACTTGAAATATTTAAATCGCAGCTTGATACAGCATTAGAACACTTAAAATTTCGACATCCGTGAGTGCTCATGCAAATTTTTATTATTAGTGTTATATTCCCTTTGTGAAGTTATTCAGAAGATTCTGCAAAAATCCTATGGGGCATGATTAGCTTTAGCTTGTTAAATCGCCCATAATAAAACTTTGACTTTGACATCAGATGAGAAACGGAATGTATCGTGGATCTCTGATAGACCGTGAAATTTGCAAAACCCGGAAGACCTGGGCATTCATTCTCAGATAATCTGTTTCATTCGGCTGGTAGTGGTAGAAAAGCCTCATTGTCTGCAGCCCACTTGTGCTTGTTATTTGAGGAATTAATGATAACAGCCACGTCTCTCTTGAAACCTATTCTCTGGGCAGGTCCACCAAGAATGTCCAGTAACATACCACATGAAGTACGCGGCTCACAGTTATGATTGCTAACCTGGCCCTCTCGAGGTTACTGTAAATCTAGTGCGATGGACAAATTGTAAATTCGGATAGACACCAATCTAGCTGGCGTCATATATATATATATATATATATATNTGTGTGTGTGTGTGTGTGTGTGTGTGTGCGCGCGCTAGAGAGGTTCTCGGAGTTTTTTACGGGAATTAAAGGACTTTCTGTCTATGCATTTGCTCACACAAATAATCCGGGTTTACTTTTAAATATTTTCAGTAATCTTTTATTTTCATTTACTTAATACACATCTGTGATATAATTTATAATTAGGAAAGGAATTGTGACCAAGAGGAAACTTCCAATCGGTGAATAGGAAAGCAGCTCAAAAAGTGACTATGGGCTCAGGACCTTTACCACTCGACTACAAACGGGACTATTCCCCTATTTATTTTATGCTTACCCCTTTGTCTTTCTGAGTTTGTTTTTAAGGAACTTGAACTGACTTATTGATTCCTCGACGTTTTACCCGCAATAACTACTTCAACTTCCATGTTTTACTGGAGAGAGTCCCACCGCCGTCCCACCCAATCTCATACCTACCCTACTGGTTGGCTTTGCATAGTTCGATACTCGTGCTTGTGACACTGCTTTCCATAACTGAAAAGCAAGTGTGCGTCACTATGGTACTCACTCATTCAATTGTTCCTGTTAAAAAGGTATGTAACAAAATATTTACTGTATTAATGTTACTTCTTTCCAGCATACCCAAGTGCGGTGAGCTTTCTGGAGCAATATTTTAGCTAACATTAAATATTCCCTTAACAGAGATCTAGACAAAGTAATCGGCATCTATTATACGCACGCACTAAAGGATCGTGTGCATGAAATCCTGTGTACGAATTTCAGTGAGCATTGCGCAGTCTTTTGCTCTGTTTGTAAGTCCGAAATTATCTGCCATAGGTTGATTTGGTCGATATCTGCATTCTTTTTTGTAGCTTCACTTCCAGCTCACTTATCCTATTTCCCCGTTTGATATTTATATGCTATTCACCCTCGTAATTAGAATAGTAATTAATCCACTTGGCGTGTTTTTGAAGCATGTCACAAAATTATACCTTCTGCACAATCAGTGGTTTCCTTCAAATGCATGTACTCACAGGGGTATGAATGCCAACCGCGTTTAGCGAGATAAAATGCCCAGTCACTGACCAAATATCCTGACTCGAATACCGATTTGATCCACTGCATTCCGTTCATTGTTATCACGTATAGCACGATGAAAATATCTTCACTTGTTCTTTTCTCCATCACTCTCTCACACACATGACAAGTGAGGGAAGTAAGATTTTTCATTAAATCACTATCCGGTACACCCAGAACACATGGCTAAAAAATCTTAACTGGACTATTTCGTTCACTCACTCGCACATGCGCAAACACAGATAGCATTCAATTGGATAGAATCGACTGGATCTTGCTTGCTTTGGTTCACACGTTTTCCCTCGTCCGAAATTTTCATCTGCTGCTTCTCTTTTCTTGCCTCGTTCAACCCTCGCTTATCAACGTATTTTTCACCTGTTTAATATGTGCGTGTGCAAATGCAACAATTCAGATTCTATGCTGATCCTGAATTCAGATCGAAGTGCGGTAAAAATAACAATGATAAAATCACCAAATCGTGTTGCCTCCAACTGATTAATCTATGTTTGACCGCCTCTTCGACGCCCCTAACTGCCATTGTTGCCGTTGTCGTTGGTATTGTTGTTGTTGTTGTTGTCGTTGTTGTTGTTGTTGTTGTTGTTGTTGTTGTTGTTGTTGTTGTTGTTGTTGTTGTTGTTGCACGTGAGTTTAACATTCAACCAAATGGATAAATGCCTATTCTTATTCGCTTTTGTGTCACCCATCCAGCGCCAATCCACGAATGTGTGACGTGCCATTTTACTTATCTTAGTCGATAAATATCCTACACGCAATTGGCCCAGTTTTCCCATAGAACAAACGGAAAACCCAATCGGTCAACACAATTCAATGAAATTGAATTTGGCAATCTGTTCGAGTGATACGCAGAAAATGTGCAACAGACCAATAAAGTGATAGCTGCGAAAGAACATACCAGTAACCGAAGGGGGAACTGCACAATAAGACAGGGAGCCGGGATGTTGGGGATTGCGGGGGTACGAGAAGTGAACAGTGAGCTCGACACACAAGAACCAGTATCCAGGCCTGGATGTTCAACATCTTTTTCGGCCATGCGTGGCATGGACTGTCTCGGCTAACGCAGTAAAACTCAAGTTATTATAGTCCAATGAAACTGTCTCGGACTTTCCTGAATACAGTTCGGGTTGAATCAACAAAATGATTGATAAGATGAATAAAATAGTAAATGAACGTATAGTCAATCCGTTGCATCGATCCACCTTTAGATGACAAGACCCCACGATCTGTAATGGTTCATTTGCTGTTTGAAAAATCACCGTCCGTTTCAGGATTTGGGGAAATCAGGGTTCACAATGAAAAGAACACATGCATACCTACTCACACAAGAACAACAAACTTAAACCAGAAAAAAAGAGAAAGAAATAGGACAATAAAACCAAAAAAAGATAGGAGTGATCAACGTGTGTGTGTGTCAAGAGATAGACAGAGAGTGAGAAGAGAAATATCCAAACCGAAACCGTATTTCAGTTTGGTTGTAGTGGAAATAAAGCAAGCATATTGTTCGTGAAAAACCTCGTCTGTAGAATACAAAATTTCGTACTTGCAGTCTGAGATATGAAACAAGCCTGTTGTGTGTGACTGCATGTGTGTGTGCGTGTATGCACTAAGTCACGAGTAGATGAATCAAATGTGTGTGTGTGCTCGTGTAGTTGTCAGAAATGTCCGGTTCAAAGGTATGGTCATGTATGGCACATGTACGGCACAAAAGCACATTGGGTTTGAAGTGCAGACAAACTGCGAGATCAAAGCAAATTGAGTGAATTCAGAGAATAAACGGACGGACAGGCAATGTCATTGCAACTGAACATTGAAAGGTCAAGTACGACGCGCTTATACGGAACATATGAATACCAAATATGGTCAGAGTAACGGTACAAATTATATGAACACCACAAGAACCTTGTCGAATGTGTTTTACATATGTGTGTGTTTACAGCTCGGCGCTTTGTAGACACCTCGCCGGATCAATACGTGGATTGTGATCAGTTGGTATCCGTTTCAAACATTGGATCAACTATTTAAGACGTACACAGCCAAGTGAGTAATGTGTTTGGGAGTGGGGGGTGGGGTGGACAGAGGTGAAAGAGGAAAGGAACACGAGGGTGTGGCTAGTCCCCCAGGATTTTCTCCGGTTTAGTGCACAAAATTGTTTTGGAGGACAGAGCACCTAACGTGTCCAGTGGATGAGTGTCGACAGTTGCACCGGATTCGGAATGGTGTGCCAACTGGGCCAAAGCTGGATTAGATGCTAGTACATTACTGAACGTCGTGGAGAATGTGCGGGAGTCCGGTCCGGTCGTAGTGATTCCTGCACGGGCAAAGGCGGCGGCTGCAGCAGCAGCAACTGCCATGGCTGATAGAGCATCTGTGGAACTAGATTTTGGTGCACTTACTCCTGGAGGTGCGGACTGAAATAAATTAGAGTGAAAGGCAGATCCAGAAGTGGTACCGGATGGTATTGAATTAGAATCGCACACTAACGGAGGGGTTGGTGTGCTAGGCGAGGTAAACACGGCCGTACTGAACGGTGAGGAAAATTGGGATGTTGGTGCGCGTCTAGAACCGGGTCTGTCACGAACCATATTAATTGCATTCTCTGTTAGAGGACTGGGAGGGTGATTGACTTTTGGGGTAGGAAAGGGCGATGTGGTCGACGATGCATGAGTTGCGTTGAATCCGGATGTATTTGTTGGGGACGGAGGTGACATGGGTGTACAAGATTCACTCGACACGGTTTTGAATACTCCAGACTGAAGTACAAGACGACCCTGCATCAATGGCTTCACATAACGACGACGCGCGTTGATAAACCAATTGTTTACTGTAGTTCGAGATAGGCCGGTTTCCATCGCCAACATCATTTTCTCCTCTTCTGAAGGGTACGGTTCGCGTAGGTGATCGACTAGCCAACCAAACAAGCGTTTCCTTGCCGGAAACGGTAGGTTTGTCCGCGATAAACCCACAGCACGACGAATGCTGAAAAGTCCACCCGGACCGACTCCGGAACCGGCATTCGCAGAGGACGGCGTCCCGCCACATTTGTTGTCAGCATCCATAGGACTAGATTCACCGAAAGAAGATGCTCGAGTGCTACCACCACCGGTAGCCAAAGTCATAGAATCATGTGCGTCTTTACCTCCGCCACTGCCGCTCATAAATCCTAAACCACCTCGCCGAGAATCAGTGGCGTTAGGTGAGGATGTATGCGCACTTCCACCGTTTCCTCCCGCTCCGGAACCGCGATCACCAGAATGACGACCATGTGGTCGATTCGTCTCAGTATATGACGGACTGTTCTGTTCACTATGTGCTTCCTTGTCTGGTGAACCGGTACCTTGTCCGTTGTTTGAATGAACTATTTGAATGAAGATCAAATGAAAACTAGGCTACACATTCTGTCCGGAATTAGACATGAAATAATTTGCAACCTGTAAGATAATATATGATGGAAAACCGCGTGTCGCTAACAACTTAGGAACTTATCAAATTGGCGCATACACTGTAGAAGAAGACGGCTACTTTATTTGCTCGTGGCATGAATTGTTGAGATGACTTCCGATAGTAAAACCTAGTCTGTCATATAAAAGCAAATCTAAAATCCCCATTTCCTCCAAGAAAGATTTCCGGAATCGTTACTTGTCTGTTCTAACAAGCAATCTTTGTGAAAAAGATACCCAATCTGCTTGAGATTTTAGTATTGCGT